GAGCCAGAGAGGCTACATCGACATGTTGCAGAGGCTTTTCTGCCAGAGGGGCCTCCTCGACGAAGCCCGAAAACGCCGATTTCTGTCGATGCGTTCAAGGAGCTGACGTTCGACGATGCAGAGTTGCAGGGATGAACAGAGGAAGAGTATCGCCAGAGAGTGGGATCTCTTCAGTTCGCCGCCTGCACGACACGTCTGGACATCCCTTTCGCCTGCAGCAAGCTCGCGTCTGGGCAAACTGTTCGAAGTGATCAGCACTGGAAGGAGTTCAAACGTTGCATTGCGTATCTCGTGGGGACTCGCGATGTGGCTCTGGAGCTCGGCGGAGAAGCCATACATCTGCGCCTCGTTGGTTTCGCAGATGCTGATGATGCTGACGACAGGCAGAGTTGCAGCAGCACAAGTGGGTACGTTTTCACCCTCGGCGGAGCTGCAATTTCGTGGGCGAGCAAGAGGATAAAATGTGTCACTCTTTCGTCTACGGAATCTGAGTACATCTCTGCCGTGGAGGCCGGCAAAGAAGCACGTAAGCTGCGCTTTTTGCTGGCAGAGTATGGGCTCCTCGACGAGGATGAGCCCACGACACTCTATGTCGACAATCAATCTGTCATTTCTATATCAGAAGGGATGGGGCTCAAGGGGAGCCTTAAGCATATGGAGCGGCGGTACATGTGGCTGCAGCAGATGGTCGCGAGCCGTAAGACGAAGTTGCAGTTCATCCCTACGAACGAGCAGCCGACAAATTACTTGACCAAGGCCTTGCATTTTTCTGCGTTCGAGCGATGCTTCGGCAGAGTGGGTCAGGTGCGATTGTCTGCGAGGGGGAGCGCAGAAGTAGAAATCTCTTATGGGAAAGAGTAGGCGCCATGACCTCTTTCATGGCTGGTGCGGAATTCCAGCGTGAGGAGAAGTTCAGATTCTCACAATTTCTTGTGTGTTCATTTTGTGTGTTTTCCTTCCTTCGGATTTCCTCTAGATAGGTTCTTTGCTGGTTGGTGATTTCGCATGACCAGTGCAGGGGAGTGTTGAGAATAGCCCTGATCCTGCGAAGGTTGCAGAAGTCTGCGGAAGCGGCGTATCAACGAAGCCTGCGGACACGAGCCCTGAAGAAAGGCCCATAGATGAAGAGCAGATTTTTCGACAAGGTGAGGCTCTGCGGGAAGTGGCAGAAGAGCAGTTTTCGTTGGTGGCAGAAAAGCGGTTCTGCCGGAGTGGCAGGACAGGAGCGCGTTTTTCTGCATACGGCTTCTACAGATTTCGGTGCTTCTGTAGAAGCAGTCTCAGCAGAATCGAGAGTGTACAAGACCCTCTGCGGATTCGACACCAGGGGCCATTCGTAGAAGGGTTGTCCTCTGCAGAAGTATCGCGCAGAAGACATTTCTGCGGGCGACCCTTTCGGCAGAAGCGACTCTGCAGAAATACGTTCCAACAGGACTTCGGGCAGAGTGGCGCAAGAACCTGTTCGCGCAGAATTGCGTTCTGCGGGAGTTCTGCAGAAATGCAATTCGGCTATCTCTTCTGTGGACGACCCCCTCGACAGAAACGAAACTCGGCAGAAGCTCGTCAGAGAGTCATCTCGGACTTTACTTCTGCGAGCGCCCCTTCGACAGAAAAGACGAGGACTTAGTTTTTCTGATGAACGTACGTTCCGAAATCGCGAGAAATTCGCGATTTCGTAAGATAACCTCAGAACCGATTTGAACCGAGAACGGCAAAATCTACCTGCGACATTGAGAAATTGAACACGTGACGCACATTTCGTAACTGCGGAAATGTGCGTAACATCTGATAGTTTCATATCTGAAACTGTTAAAACAACTACTACAGAGTGGGAAAATTTACAAACCAAGCATGTGCTGTAATTTTCACCTGCCATTGCTGACTTGGCTACGCGCAGCTTAGAGTAGTTATGTAAACGTTCTTGTGCGAACGTTCTCGCCGTGTTCAATGAGGTTCAATGGGGTAGTACTAGTGTTTGCCTTGTGTACCATACTTTTTAATCTTGATTCTAGTGAATTTGTGTGCATAAGCTTTCTCAAGCTACTCTGTGAAACACACAATTATGAAGGCAACTTTCTCCTTAGAGAACGACTGAGCTAGAGAGCTCTATATGCGTCAGGCACTTCCGCAGAAGCTCCCGTTATAGCAGAAAACTCTGCACGTTCCCCCCCCTTTGCCGTCCCCCCTCCCTTCCTCCCCCTTCGCCATCTCCCCTCCGTTCCTCCCCCTTTGCCGTCCCCCCTCCGTCCCTCCCCCTTTGTCATCCCCCCTCCTTCCCTCCCCCTTTTTCGCCCCCCCCTCCGTTCCTCCCCCTTCGCCATCTCCCCTTCCTTCCTCCCCCTTCGCCATCTCCCCTCCGTTCCTCCCCCTTTGCCGTCCCCCCTCCGTCCCTCCCCCTTTGTCGTGCCCCCTCTTTCCCTCCCCCTTTGTCGTCCCCCCTCTGTCCCCCCCCTTTTGCTGTCCCCCCTCCCTTCCTCCCCCTTCGCCATCTCCCCTCCGTTCCTCCCCCTTTGCCGTCCCCCCTCCGTCCCTCCCCCTTTGTCGTCCCCCCTCCTTCCCTCCCCCTTTGTCGTCCCCCCTCCGTTCCCCCCCCTTTGCTGTCCCCCCTCCCTTCCTCCCCCTTCGCCATCTCCCCTCCGTTCCTCCCCATTTGCCGTCCCCCTCCGTCCCTCCCCCTTTGTCGTCCCCCCTCCGTTCCCCCCCCTTTGTGGTCCCCCCTCCGTTCCTCAAACATTGCCGTCCCCCCTCCCTTTTGTCCTCCATTTGTCTTTCCACCTCCGTTCTTCCTCTCATTGTCTCCCTCATTCCTATTTTCCCCCCTCAGTTTATCCTACCTCGGTCTTCCGCCCTCCATTCCCCCCTCCGTCCTCCATTCTCCCGCCCTCTGCTTTTCCCCCCCTCTGCCGTTCCCTTTCCATTCTTCCTCACCAACGTTCTCCCACCCCCCCCCCTCTTTCCTTTACCCGTTGCGTTCTTCTTACCTGACCCCCCCTCTGCTTTGTTGCCTTCGCAATCTGTATTCTTACAAGCCGAAGTGCAGCCCATTCTCAGGTATACACTACTCTCCCTCTCGCTGTTTCTTTGTTTGTCCTCCATCCATTCTTCCCCTGTCTGTTTGCCTCCGTTCTTCCCTTCCATTATTTCCCTCTCCTTTCTGTATTTGATTTTCCCCTACACTTGTTTCTACCTTGCGTTTGCTTCTCATTTCAGTGGTTGCTTCTTTCTTGCACTTGCTGCTCCCTTCTCCTTGTCCGTCTTTCTTGCCCTCGTCTCCGCTGTACTGTTTTTTTCCCTTGCATCCGTTCCCGTTCTCCCTACCTAATCGCTTTAATTTTTCTCTGGCTGCTACTGTCGCAAGCTCTTCCCTCTGATTTTTTCCTATTGTTATCCTTTCCAGTCATGTTATCACGTTCAAGTTTGTCACTTTCCCAGAACATTCCAAGTCGTCGAAGTTCAAGTCGGTCACGTTCCAAGACTTCTCACTCCAAATCCATTCAAAGCATTGATTCATGGATATTTGAAGTTGACTTTTGGTATTGTTTTCGTGCTACCCATTATATATTCGTGTTTGACTTCTGTGCATTTGCATTGTTGTTTTGTGGTTTTTTATGCTGCGTTGCTTGTGTATGTGCGTTTGCATGGTACGGTACCATTATCGACAACGTGCGTACCAGTTTGTTGGCTTGTGTTTTGCACGGTGTTGCGTTGCGTTGTGCTTGCAGAGGAAGGATGCTGAATATGCATAGTGCATCACACAATTTGCGATTGTCGTTGCCGGTTTGGGGAATTGCTTCTCATTCCGTGCATGTCAATATCTATTGTAGCACGAAAGCAGTGATGCATTTCTTTCTTTGCAGTCACTATTGTACTTTTTTTTTGTTTGTTAGCAAGTGTTGTATATTGTTGTGTATTGTGCGTGCGTGCAGGGAAACGATGCTGATTATGCCTAGTGCATCATACAATGTGCGATTGTCATTGCCTGATTGGGAGTTTTTTTTCCCATAACGTGCATGTCAATCTCTAATGCGGCACGAACGCATTGATGCATTCGTTTTACTGCATTCGCTGTTGTATTGTACTGTTGTCGTGTCGAGCCGAACCGTTATATGTGTGTGTGTTGGTAAGATGCGTTCTGTGTACATGCTTTGAAATTTGTGGTGGTAATGTTGTGGTTCATTCATTCTCCGCCATAATTATCGACGGCGAATGATTCGAGCCTCTCTCATCATTAATAGAAAACTTAGAAAATCGTTACCAAACTCTCTGTTGCTCAATTATTATGTTGTCTCCATTATCGACCACATAATAATTGCGAAAAACATATATTTTATGCAAGCTAGAAATGTATTTTGAGACGCTAAGTTTCTGAGTTATAGTAAAAGGAATCAACAAACAAACGGATATGTAGAGATTCTCTATAGGAGAACGTAAACATTCAGATTTTAGACAACCAATTTTAGATGGAAAAAAAACCAGTGCCTTTAGAGTGAGCGATGCATTAAACCTGGAAACAATATGTTGTGCGGGTTATTAGGCCGACTAAACAAAGTCGTCCGAAATCGGTCCACCGACCGATTGTTAAGGGTTGCTACGCAAGCCAAAAATGGTGGGGGGGATTTTTATTTTTTTTTGGGTTGCGGAGCAACCTATTGCGATCGATCCTAAGGATTTTTTTTTTCAAGTTTGTGATTTGGAAAAAACTACCAAATCTTAAAAAAAAAAAGATATTCCAAAAAAAAAATCCCTAATTGATTTGAATCTAAAATGTTTGTCGTTGTTTCCCATGATTTCCAGTGGCGTATTTTTGTCATTGACAAAAATAGGCTATCGCTTCCCCAGCTAAGTGGGGGAAGTCGAAAGCCTATTATGTCGACCGTGAGATAATACATTTTATGATAGCAAGAAAATCATCAACAAGCAATTTTTTTTTTTACGAGCAATTTTGTGAATACCAAAACCTGATTTACTATATCGATTTCAAGTCAATTGACCGCACTCACAGAGAGAGTCAAAGGACCTTCACGAAACGATAAAAGCAATCCAGATTTTGAGACACACAAAACGTATTACCACGAGTGCCCATGCACAACACACAACAGGACTGCATGCACCTAGCAAAGGCCAAAACAATTCAAAACAGTAAAGTATGCATTATGCAATAAAAAGATAGCAGATGCATAATAAGAGTGGTTCAAAGTTTCGAACCTGCAGCCAGATCACAAGGGTTAGCAGAATAAGAGACATGTGAAACCTGGATAAGAGGACGTAAAAATGAAGAGAACGACAATGAACAAAGAAAACATGGAGAATTAGGAAGTGCGACGTAAGGAACGATTTCCCGTAATGGTGGGAGAAAGGAAGAATTGAGACAAGGTATGGACGAGAGCAGAGGAGAAGGGCATGGCGGGAGGGTAGAATCCGTACCTTGAAATAAAGTTGAAAGGTGATTACCCGTGGTTCCTTAACAAGCTAGAGCACCTAGAGACATAAGAGATATGGAAAAAGTGAGAGGATGCTTATTTGTTGGAGGAAAACAGCAAGGAATATAAGAAGAGAGAGGCCTAGGGAAAGAAAGGAGGGAAAAGCTAGCATGACTATCCAGTTAGGAGGTTGACGACAAGCTGAGAGAGAAACGATGACTTAACCCAACTATGGGATGGCCTTGGCTGGAACGCTAGAACGCTAACTGCTGGAGGTGACGAGAAAGCTGTGAGATTGAGGAATGGAGGAAGAATTGTGTGAGAAGGAGAAAGAAAAGTTGGAGAATGTGGGTGGAACGGCCAGGCTCTCGCAGCTCTGAAGGAAGTTCAATCTATTTTCTCGTTTCCATCAGAAACTGCCCAGCTAGATTGCAATTTGTGAACTTGTTTTCGAGCTTGTGAGGGCGTGTTTTATCTATTTGACTAATTGTACGTGTTGCATTCAATACTACGGAACTACGAGTTCGAAATTCATTGTTTCGCGTATTGCCAGTTCCACAACCAACTAATCGGTGAAAATCAATGAAATTTGAAATTTAAAATACGCCCTCGTAATTCGCGTCGTTGAAAAAGCCGGATCGCTTTGACGAAAAAAAAAATCCGAACGGGTGGCAGAACAAATTTCACGTCACTGGACGGCTACAGTATTTTCCGTCAGAAATTGTGCGCGTGACGAGCCTCGCCGCTAGGCGCAAAAAAACAAAATCTGCCAGGTGGCAACTTTCGCCACCGGGCAGGGAAATCATATCGCACAGTATCGAGAAAGACGACACTAAAACGAAAACGAAAACGAGATAAAGTAAGAATTGTAGCGTAATAATATACAATACAGAAAAGTAACATAAGAATCTAAAACATGGAAATGGAAGAACCAGCTCTAGGTGGCGGTTTTCACGCTTGGCAGTCGTGACATGTTCATAATTTGACTAATATAAAAACACAGAATATTTTTCATTTACATACACTTCTAAATGTTGTCTACTTCGGGTTTGGGTTATTTCTGAGTAGTATACTAGCAAAAGTATTTTTTTCATCTTTTTTATACAATAGAGCTCCGCAACCCTAAGACGATTTCGTCGCCTCTTGTTTTTTTTCATTCAAAATAAGCGTTGATGCACGCATCCCATCCGACGATTATGTCGAGTCTTGTTCATAGTTTTTTCATTACAGCTTCCCGAGCACGTCACGGGTGCGTTGCCAATTCACCATCGCCACCGCAGATCTACCTTCCAGTTGCGCCTACAGAACGAAGCCACGCGCTGAACCCACACCCGTCACACTCCGCACCGCACCAGCACCAGCACCAGCACCTCGTCCTGCGCACCAGCACCAGCACCAGCACCAGCACCTCGTCCTGCGCACCAGCACCAGCACCAGCACCAGCACCAGCACCAGCACCAGCACCAGCACCAGCACCTCGTTGTCACTGCGCACCCAATCCCGCATGAACGCGGCTCGTCTACACTATCCACCATTGTCCCATACTCGGGAATCGCCTCGGTATGCCTCGGTTTGTGAGTGCGGCTGATCTTGCCCCTCGCATATTCACACCTCCTCCCCACATCTTCTGGTTACGACCGCCAATAAAGCCCCCCCCCCCCCAGATGTTCCTCCCACACCAGCTCCAACAAACCTCCACGCATTTCTATCTAGCGACACCAGGGCTTACGCTAGAAGGGTACGTCCCAAAATACCAGGACCAGAAATACGGAGTAGCTATACACTAGGTACGGCATAGGTACGTCTTCTACGGAGTAGCCTTGCTATACGAACAACTATACCTACAATATAGGTGAGATCCACATTTTTGTGACGTAGCTACCCTAAATGTCGAGAAATTAAGAGTTGTCTAGACCCTGAACCCGGATCTTAACAGGCTGGGTTCTGCCGAATCTCTGAATCTGGCCGAGTCAATGAGCCTTGGAATTCGGATGCATTCCGTGACAGGTTTTCATGAAACCTGACGGACTAGTCTCGCAGCATGGCGTTCAGCAAGGAGAAAATCCCTCCGCCACTGCGTGGAGAAAAATCTCCGTCACGAACATCAAGGGTGATTTCGGGTTTGGGACATACTAGCTTTCTTTTCAATTGCTCCGTCATCTGCGCCCCAAAAATTAGACTAGAAGGCAGAAAAGCCCTTCCGCTTAGGCAGAGTTACCGCTCGGAAAACTTGTAAGGATTCCGAGTGAAAACCCCTTGGATTCCGGAAATTTTTGGGTATGATTGGACCATAACTCAGCACCTTCCGAAACTCCCTGGCCCAAACGTAAGCCTTGACCACCAGCGCAACGAGCCTCATTCCTCGGCATGCGTTTCGCCCACTGTGCCGTCGTGCTTGTCCTGTTGGCGCTGGCGCTGCTTGCGCGCCTCCCCTACCATTACGATCCGCTCGATGCCGCGCCTGCGCCGTCCCTGGAGCCGTCCGTCAGTGCCGATCCAGCCGCCGCCTTCTCGCGCGGGCTCCTCGCGCTGGCGTCGTGGGCGGAGGAGGCGGCGCAGCGCAGCGGGGAGCAGTGGGGGGAGGAGCAGCACGAGCCGCAGAGACGAGAGCAAGAGCCGCCGAACCAGCAGCGTGATTTTCCACACAACTTGAAGACGCGGATGATTCGCGTGGCTGCGTTCAACGTGGGTCGCGCAGTGATCTTCCTCCACCAGCTAAGGCAGCAGCAAGGGCGGGAATTGCGAGCAGCGCGATTCCGAGTCGTGCCGCTTGCCGCGCCAGCGGAAGCAGGCAACGTGACGTGGGACGACCTCTACCCGGAGATGAACTACGACCGCTCCAACTTCACTTGCCCTCATCGCAAAAAGTGCAACGTTCACAGATCGTTTTCACCATTCGAGCTCGAGCATAAAGTCGGAAATCGTCCGCCAAGTGTTCGCCAAATGTTTTTTTCTCGTTTCTTTGCGCGTAAATGATTCGCGAGTCTTCTGCGGATGGGATGTTATGCGAATGAGTTGTTTTGTGAATGTTACACCTGAATAATAAACATGTTCCCGTGGCTTATATTTGCATAAATGATTGGTTTTTGTACACTTAAACTTCTACAAAGTTTTAAAATTGTGCATAAGTAACTGAAATATAATAATATATAAAATATGTGTGCAATTTGCCAAAAAAAACTAACTGAATCCAACCCCAACCAACTCAACCCATATCTCACACGCTATTCGAGGTTCGGCGAGACCTGTAACCAGGCTGGGTTACGCAGCTCCAATGGGTTGCGAAACCCAGATACCACGTCCTAACCCTATGCACCGTGAGGAAATTGAACAACCCCCTCGGACATCAAAAGGGGCCATGCGATTGGTCGAAGCCAAACAACAACAATCGCAAACCCAACCCACAGCCTGCTCCCTCGACAGCAAAAACGACTAAGGGAAAGATGGTAGCAGATCTCGAATTCGGGATCTGTAATTTTCTCGACTTGCCCTCGTTTCCTCCTAGATCCATGCTCATGCGTAGCCATGCTAGAGAGTTGGTAGCGACTTATAAGATGGGATCGAGGCGACACCGACGTCAGGCTAGTGAACGCGGATATCAATTGAGGTTCTTGGCGCGCGTAGCCTAGCGTGGACGAAATCACCAGCGCCTGAAAACAAGGGCAGGAAACAAATGACGAATCCCCCGCTGCTAACGGCCCACCGTTGCGGGCCGCTATAGCTTCCCGCCGCCTTCGATCTCCTCGTACGAAAATGCCACCCGCGGCTTCCCACATCGTGCTATCCCTGTCCTCGCGCTTCCTTGCTTCCCAAATCCCCGCTTCCCGCTTTCGAAAGCACGTCCGCATCTCACCTTCACGTGCTGCAGCATCTCGCTGTCCCTCGCTTCCTTCCACCCGCTTTCACCCGCGTCCCGCTATCGCTTGCTCCCCGAATCCCGCTTTCCCATGCTCCTCGCATTACCTTGCTCCCCGCATTCCAATGCTCCTCGCATTCCCATGCTTCCCTCATTCCCATTTTCCCGGCATTCCCATGTTCCCCGCATTCCCATGTTCCCCGCATTCCCTTGCTCCCCGCATCTTGCTTTCCCATGCTCCCCGCATTCCCTTGCTCCCCGCATCCCGCTTTCCCATGCTCCCCGCATTCCCATGTTCCTTGCATTCCCTTGCTCCCCGCATCCTGCTTTCCCATCCTCCCCGCATTCCCATGTTCCCCGCATTCCCTTGCTTGCTCCCCGCATCCCGCTTTCCCATGCTCGCTGCATTCCCTTGCTCCCCGCATTTCCTTGCTCCCCACATCCCGCATTCCCATGCTCCCCGCATTTCCTTGCTCCTCGCATCCCGCATTCCCATGTTCCCCGCATTCCCTTGCTCCCCGCACCCCGCTTTCCCATGCTCCCCGCATTCCCATGTTCCCCACATTCCTTGCTCCCCGCACCCCGCTTTCCCATCCTCCCCGCATTCCCATGTTCCCCGCATTCCCTTGCTCCCCGCATCCCGCTTTCCCATGCTCTCTGCATTCCCTTGCTCCCTGCATTTCCTTGCTCCCCACATCCCGCATTCCCATGCTTCCCTCATTTCCTTGCTCCCCGCATCCCGCATTCCCATGCTCCCCGCATTCCCGTGTTCCCCGCATTCCCTTGCTCCCCGCATCCCGCTTTCCCATGCTCTCTGCATTCCCTTGCTCCCTGCATTTCCTTGCTCCCCACATCCCGCATTCCCATGCTTCCCTCATTTCCTTGCTCCCCGCATCCCGCATTCCCATGCTCCCCGCATTCCCGTGTTCCCCGCATTCCCTTGCTCCCCGCACCCCGCTTTTCCATCCTCCCCGAATTCCCATGTTCCCCGCATTCCCTTGCTCCCCGCATCCCGCTTTCCCATGCTCTCCGCATTCCCATGCTCCCCGCATTCCCGTGTTCCCCGCATTCCCTTGCTCCCCGCACCCCGCTTTCCCATCCTCCCCGCATTCCCGTGTTCCCCGCATTCCCTTGCTTGCTCCCCGCATCCCGCTTTCCCATGCTCTCTGCATTCCCTTGCTCCCCGCATTTCCTTGCTCCCCACATCCCGCATTCCCATGCTCCCCGCATTTCCTTGCTCCTCGCATCCCGCATTCCCATGCTCCCCGCATTCCCGTGTTCCCCGCATTCCCTTGCTCCCCGCATCCCGCTTTCCCATGCTCTCCGCATTCCCTTGCTCCCCGCACCCCGCTTTCCCATCCTCCCCACATTCCCATGTTCCCCGCATTCCCTTGCTTGCTCCCCGCATCCCGCTTTCCCATGCTCTATGCATTCCCTTGCTCCCCGCATTTCCTTGCTCCCCACATCCCGCATTCCCATGCTCCCCGCATTTCCTTGCTCCTCGCATCCCGCATTCCCATGCTCCCCGCATTCCCGTGTTACCCGCATTCCCTTGCTCCCCGCACCCCGCTTTCCCATGCTCCCCGCATTCCCATGTTCCCCGCATTCCTTGCTCCCCGCACCCTGCTTTCCCATCCTCCCCGCATACCCATGTTCCCCGCATTCCCTTGCTCCCCGCATCCCGCTTTCCCATGCTCTCCGCATTCCCTTGCTCCCCGCTTTCCCATGCTCTCCGCATCCCCTTGCTCTCCGCATCCCCTTGCTCCCCGCATTTCTTTGCTCCCCACATCCCCCATTCCCATGTTCCCCGCATTCCCTTGCTCCCCGCACCACGCTTTCCCATCCTCCCCGCATTCCCTTGCTCCCTGCACCCCGCTTGCCCATGCTCCCCGCATTCCCATGCTCCCCGCATTCTCATGCTCCCCGCATTCCTTGCTCCCCGCATCCCGCTTTCCCTTGTTCCCCGCATTCCCATGCTCACCGCTGTCCCATGCCCCCGCTTTCCCATGCTCCCCTCATTCCATGCTCCCCGCATTCCCATGCTCCCCGTGCTCCCCGCATTCACTTGCTTCGCGCATTCCCATGCTTCCCACATTCCCTTGCGACCCGCACCCCGCTTGCCCTCGCTAATCCGCTGCTGCCTCTCTCCCCTGTTTCCCGCCACCCGCTTCCCCTAGCTTCCGGCATGCCGCTTTCCCCCGCTTCCTGTTTCTGCCATTCCCCCCTTTTCACATCCCGCTTTCCCCCGGTAGCGACTAGCGCTTCCCGCTTCACCTCGCGGACCGCTTCCCGCTTTCCCTTGCGGGTCGCTTCCCACTTTCCCACGTTGTAACATGTTACCCGCTTTTTCGCGCACCGCAATCCCCTGCCTTCTCATTGAATGAAAACAGATAAAGGTTCAAGGCGCAGCAGCAGGGAAGAAAGCGAGGCCGCAGGGATGGGGAAGACAACAGATAGTAGCGAGCGGGAGAGGCGAGAGGGGAGGGAGAGGGGCACGAGAGCAGTGGAGGGGGGAAGGCGTGAGAGCAGGGAGGGAGTGAGGCATGAGAGCAAGGAGGGAGTGAGGCACGAGAGCAGGGAGGGAGTGAGGCATGAGAGCAGGGAGAGAGTGAGGTATGAGAGCAGGCGTGAGTGCAGGGGAGGGGGAGAGGCGTAAGAGTAGGGGAGGGGGAGAGATGGGAGAGCATGGAGGTATGAGGTGTGTGATAGGGGGGGATGTGGGAAGGCGCAAGAGCCATGGAGGGAGCGAGAGGTGAGAGAAGGGAAGGGAAAGAGGGGTACGAGTAGGGGAGTGGGGAAAGGGAGAGTGCAGCCCGGAGGAGATGGGGAGGGGAAGAGGCGTGAGGGCGGGGGAGGAAGAGGCGTGAGGGGCATGGGAGGGGGAGAGGGTGTTAGGGTAGGGGAGGGGGAGTGGCGTGAGTGCAGGAGAGTGGGGAAAGATGGATTGCAGTGAGGGTAGGGGGGTAGGAGTGAGAGCAGAGGAGTGGGAGAGGCGTGAGGGCGTGAGAGGCAGGGACAGCTGGAGGAGATGGGGAGGGAAAGAGGCATGAGGAGAGGGGAGGCAGATACGCATGAGGGCAGGGGAGAGGGAGATGCATGAGGGCAGGGGAGGGGGAGAGGCATGAGGACAGAGGAGGGGGAGTGGCATGAAGCAGGGGAGGGGGAGAGGGCAGTAAGTGTGAGCGGGATCCCGGCAGGACAGGCAGTAAACACTCTATAACTAACCCCTCTCAACCCCCCGCCCCCCCACTAACGTATGCCCCCATCTCTTTCTCCCCCCCCCCCCCCCCCCCCCTCCCCCCCCTCCCCTCCTCCCCGCTCTCTCGCAGCCTACCGGGTGGCACATGATTGCCAGTCAAGCTCACCTTGGACAACCTCTCCGTTAAAAGCCAGACTTCACCCCAAACCTATCCACTCACTCCCCTGTGCATCTCTCAACAAACCACATTCTGTGGGTGATCTCCGTGCGGCCACGCATTCAGACATTCAGCCGTTATTGGCAAATGCTAACCATGTCTCTTCTCTAGCATCATCTACAACGGCTGCAGAAAATGGAAATTATGTAACCCTACATATGTGAACGACACTTTGTAACTGAGTTGGTCCAGGGTTGTAAAGCCAACTTGAATTTTGAGGTCACAATTTCTCTCCCTCAAGTTTGTTACATTCTTCCTGCCACATATATATGTGACCTTTTCAGGTTATGAACGGCTTGTCGGTCGTTCTGTAAGAGTACATGAACTTGGCACCAATTTTGGCAACAAGAGTAGCTTTTTATCTTTAGCATAAAGTCATATTAGTCTAGATACATTCAGAAAGTCAAGTTCCCATGGAAAGCGATTTAATCTACTAAACAAATCCAAGACACACACTGAGATATATCGAAAACGTCTTAGCATATATAGTAACAAGTGTTGGCTACAACACCTCCATCCAACCACCAAGAAGGGCGTAGTCCAACGGAATCGGTGCAAAACACGGCTTTATGAAATTTGTGAATACCAAACTGAACCGAATTGAATCGCAAATTACAGCGTGCTATAGAGCGCGCGGATTCTGGGATCCAAAATTTCAGGTCCTATTTGCTTGATATTCGGGTCTGTAGAAACACGCCCCTATTCACAAAATGACGTGCTGACCAATCACACACCCTTTGCCCCCTACCAAACCTGCAACCGAACCCAACAAAATTTATTCATCCAACTCAGCCCCTGCACCTCGTCCAACCAATCAAAATCTGCCAAGTGGTTCCAGAGCGGCTAATCCAGCTCAACCACCTGCTCGCCCCAACCACCCAGCCCACCACGCTGCACCCCACATGCCAGCACTCCAGCCCACCACACACTTCTGATCCCTTCCTTACGTGTCCCCTTGCGCCCTCTCATGCCTTCCAGCTAGACGTTACTTACAATAATAGCCCTCGGCAGTTCTATCTGCATCAGTTTCAGCTCCCATTCTCGCCTTCGCGCCCCCTAGTGAGCAGCTCCTTCCTCTCCCACAGGCTTCGATTACCATGGTCGTTCTTAGTGTGCCCTATGCTGAGGATCTCGTTTCACGATGGTCTATCATTTCAAGCAGCTCGTAGGTGACTAGTCTTGTTCACCCATGTCATTCTTATCTGCATGTTCATGAGCTAATGCGCCATTGGGGGGGCAGGAGAGTAAGGAGGGGCGAGGGGGAGGAGGCGGCACGCAGAAGCGGTATCTTCGGGAGGCGGGGCGCCTGGCGGAGTACCTAGATGCGCGCATGGAGGCAGCCACCAGGTGCGCGGACGCCAGCAGATGCGAGCACGGTGGTGAAACATCTCTTCCCTTGTTTCGCTTCTCGCCACTGTCCTTTTCCTCTCTCCTGTACTCGTTCCGTCTATGCCCGTCTCGATCCCCCTTTCGTGCCCTCTCTCCCTTTTCGCTCGTCCCAGCTGCTCTTTCTCCCCCTCGCCCCTGGAGCTGTGCTTGCCATGTGTGTGCTTGCCACGTGTGTGCTTGGCGCAGCAGTGGTGCGGCGCGACTCGTGCAGAGAGGCATGGCTAGTAGTGTGTGTGGGAAGGTGGAGGGGGCAGAGCGGAATGGAGAGCATCCGCTCTCGTGCACTCCCCTTCTCACGCGCATGCCCCATCCATCCGTCCATCGTGTGTGCGCTGCAGGTTGGGCGCAGCAGCAGCAGGCCCGAGGAGCAGTGAAGGGGGGCATGCTGGCGCCATGGGTGGTGCGCTGCCAGACGACGTGAGTGCCATGGCGTATGCGCACGACCTGCCACCCAAGGTGCATACATGTGCCTTGCTATATGCATGGCGGTGTGAAGCCATCCCTGGCAGCCCATCCGTGTGCCCTCTGTTCTGCCTGTTGCGTGCCCATGCCACCCCCTTTTGGCTCTTGCACGCCACGCCTCTCCATGCGACCTACCACTCTCCTTGCCTTTACTCACCTCTTTCTTTCACATGGCTGCATGGAATCACATGGCTGCATGGCATGGCATGGGCGCATGGCACATGGGTGCATGGCATCACATGGGTGCATGGCATCACATGGGTGCATGGCATCACATGGGTGCATGGCGTGGGTGCATGGCATCAGGTGCATCTGTGGCAGCACCACGAGTCTCTCTCCTCGCGCCATCTCTCCTCCTCCCTCGCCTCCCTGCACCGTTACTTCGACTACAGGTGAACAGTCATGGCCAGGCGGAGAGGGGGGGGTCATACAGGTGCCACGGATGGGTTGCTGGAGTAGAGAGGCCCATGAGAGGGCATTCGCAGGCACGTGCGAGTGTGGGGGGCAGTGGGAAGGGCCTGCTGCATGACAGGGCAAGGAAGTGTGGGGGAGAGTGTGGCGTTCGCACGTTGATACGTGTGATCGTGTGAGTGTGCTGTGCACGCGTGGCCCTCATGGTGAGGCGGCCACGAGGAGTGCAGCCACCACGAGGAGTGCAGCCGCCACAAGGAGTGCAGCCTCCATTCTGTTCTTCCATGTCTTGTGCGCTCTTCCCCGACTCTTGCGCACACCGTCACTCCACCCTCCCGCTTCCGCCCCCTGCCACCCCCTCCTCTCTCCAAGCAGTGCGGGCGTGACAGCGGTGGGTAGTCGCCCGGCGTCGGAGTGGTGGGCGGGGCGATTCCAGGCGGGGCTGCTGGTGGAGGGCGCCATGCACGCACGATACGGGCACACACAGCACGCCATGGGGGTATGAAGGCATTTGTTACTTGACGTATCAATCAAACTAATGATTCGCATGTGTCCTCACGATGCTTGTCTTTATCGCAGCTAGCTATGTAACTCTGTCCAACATCGAGATAATTCCCCATGTAAGTCCAATTGTAAGTCTCGCTGGTTATTTGATCGTCGGACTAATTTCACAACAATGTCTCGTATGACGTGCAGAAATTTGTAGCCTACCACGAGCTATTTCCTCCGGTAAGCTGGCTCTTGTAATTGCTATCGTATGGAATATAACTAATTTGATTACAATGTTTGAACCTAATGTGCAGGACTCAATATCCAGCGTCGCGCTACTTCGTTGTTGTAAGCATTGTCCTTATTGTTGGTGATTTCGACCTTGGATTAATTTCGAGATAACAAGTTCTGAACGTAACGTGCAGGAATTCCAATCCAGTTTCAAGAATTGCTGCTCCTGGTGTGCCGCCGCTCAGTTTCTCTTTGTGTTAGTGCGGGACCCACATAGGGGTGCTGGTAGGCAAGGGCGGTTGGGCCATAGTGGTTGTGTACTGTGGTGTAGATGTTTTTTTTAATATATCAAATAATTTGCTTGTTGCATTATAAGTAAATCCAAACGAGGCATGCCCTAATTGTACTGAACCATGCCCAAAAGGGTACTGCAGCCTGCAAAAACGGATCCATGAAAAATACCACCAAACGTTTGCAACAAATCATGCTGAATACTAAAAATGGTGAGCATAAACTTCTCTATGCATTTACATGTTTACTGCAAAAGTTGTAGAAAGAACACCGCCATGCATTTGTAAACGAACCACAGAGATTACCGAAAAGACACCTCTAAGCATTCGCTGTCGTGAACCAAAAAGTGTTTCGGGAAATGTTGCCCAAGCATTCGCCAAGTGTTCTGATCTTAGTCCGCCATGAATTTTCACCCACATGTTCGCAAAACGTTTGCAAAGCATTCGCTCGAATGCTACGCAATCGTTTTGCGAGCACACCTTTTTTGCGATGCTGCTGTGCCCCGCGCGCCGTGGGAGGAGAGCGAGGAGACGCATGACGTGGCAGACGCGGTGGTCGCGGTGGTGCCGTGTCGCCCGGCGAAGGACTCGCTGGCGAGGGACGTGCGATGGCTGCAGCTGATGCTGTCGCTCGCACGCTTCGCCAGTCAGGTGCGGGGTAATGCCAGTCCGTTGTGCACATTCCCGGTGCGGAGTCGGGTGCGGAGGAATGCCTGAGTGCATGGGCATCACCTTCCTGTCACTTGCTCCTGTCTCTGTCACGGTATCTTCACCCTCCCTCTCCCTCCCCTCCCTCCCTCCCTCCCACCCTCCCCATCCCACCTTCCCCCCCTGCTCCCCCCAGTCCCGCCGTCCCTGGCTGCCCTTGGTCATCGTGTCCCCCTGCCGCCCGCCGCCCAACCTCTTCCACTGCCGCTTCCTTGCGCGCGCGCAGCCTGCGGCCCACGGGGCGGAGGGCGATGTGTGGGTGTACAATGTGACGGCGAGCGATATGCACGTGCGCTTCCAACATACGGGCTCCTGCGCCTTGGCGCAACCCAGCGTCAACGCCGCAGGTGCGCACCTACCACTGTCCGTTTTCCATTTTGGGTTCTTTCCCCTTGACAACCATTTCTCCCTGTCCCTGGCAAGCTTCCTAGCCCTTCCCTCGTCGCCCTTTGCCCCACGCTTCCTCGCCGTTTCATTGCCTCTCTGCTTCCCTCCCTCGGAGCTCAACCCGCTCTCATACAAACATTTCCTGCACCCCCTTTAGCAGCTCGAATTCCCCTTCTCATGTACAGCAGGGCCCCACCTCACTCCGCGTACTCCTCACCCCCTCGCCTCGTTTCTACACTCCCTCTCCAGCCATCGTGGGTTCCCCCTCGTTGGGCCCTCAGCGCTTCGCCTTCGCCACAGTGCTGCACAGCAAGGGAGACTATGTCTGCGGCGCCATCGTACTCGCACACTCCCTCCGCGCCACCGGCCTCGCACTGCCGCCTGCCCTTTTTTCTAGCATGGGCGAGAGCAGCGGCAGTGCAGGCAGCAGTGGCCACGATGCTGGAGCAGCAGGGGGCAATGGGCGTGCAGAGGCAGAGCTGGTGGCGCTGGTGTCGGCGGAGGTGGGGGCGGAGAGCCGGAAAGGACTGCAGGTGGCGGGATGGCGGATCGTGGAGATCGAGCGCATCAGGAACCCGCGGGTCAAGAAGCCGAGCTACTTCGAATGGAGCTACAGGTGTGTGGTGCGCACCAAAGTGCCTGGCGGGAGGTGAGAAGGGGGGGGGGATGTGTCGCTGCGAAGCATTTTGGGATGTGGGCTCTTCACCCATGCCCTCCGTGTGCTTGCCATGCCACTGCTTGTCCACTGTGGGCTACAGATGCCGTACTCACACATGGGCAAGCTATGGCTGTGCTCCTGCACCACAGGCCCTTGTCTCTGCCACCGGGCTCACCACCTGTCAGCCTCATGCCTCTTCCCATACTCCTCTCCCGTACCTCCCCTCTCGCCCCTTGCTACCATGGCAGCAAGCTGTGGCTGTGGCAGTTGACGGAGTACGAGCGTGTTGTGTGTTTGGATGCAGACATCGTCGCCCTGCGCCCGCTAACACACCTCTTCCTCTACCCCGAGCTGTCGGCTGGCGTCAGCTTCAAGAACGAGCTCCACTTCAACTCCGGCCTCATGGTCATTGAGCCGGCGCGCTGCACCTTGGACTTCCTCATGGCCAACCTTCGCACCTTCAGGAGTTATGATGGCGGAGACCAGGTGGGTCCGCACTCTAGTCTTGATGTGTCTGGCATGATGGGTGCTGCTGGGATGGGTAACATTATGGCTAGGTACGGCAGGCATGTTTGCGTGGGCGTCGCATAATTAAAGGGACCAGGTGGGTTGGGATCTTATTAAAGGGACCATCCCCTTCCAGCCATTTCCCCTACCCACTTCTTCCACTGTCCCTCCCAGGGGTACCTGAACAACGTGTTCACGTGGTGGCACCGCCTGCCCGACTCCACCAACTTCCTCAAGCTCATCGTGACACCGCAGGGAAACCCCAGCCGGGCCCGGGAGGTGGCGGCCCAGACCGCTCTGTTCTCCGCTGAACCCCCCCAGCTGCACGCCATTCACTACGTGGGGCGCAAGCCGTGGTACTGCTTCCGCGACTTTGACTGCAACCGCGTGCTGCCGTACATGCAGAAGTTCGTCAACGACGCGGCACACAGGCGCTGGTGGCAGGTGCATGATGCCATGGACGAGAGGCTCAAGCCCTGGTGCTGGCTGAGTGAGGAGCAGAAGGAGCAGCTGTGGGATGCCATGGATAAGCGCAGGCAGGAGGGGGCTGACCCTGAGATGTGGAACTTCACAGTCACCGATCCGAGAAAAGACCTGGTGCTGCCTTGGGGGGTGGAAGTAGTGGGGAGGAAAGGTGGCCAACGAACGTTGAGCGAGTGGCTTGGAGGTCGGAACTGGCACTAGCAGCAGCTCGTAGACCTCCTGTCACAGGGTTCCCCCTCGTTCGGTGGGCCGTCCACGCTTCACCTTCGCCACGGTGCTGCACAGCAAGGAAGACTACCTCTGCAGCACAATCGTGCTCGCGCACTCCCCCCGTGCCACCGGCCTCGTGCTGCCAATAGCAGCGCCGTTGCAGGAACGCAGAGAGTGCGGGGGATGGGGGGGGCAGGGGGGAGAGGGAGATGAGAGGAGGGGGGAATGAATCATGAGTGAGGGATTGGAACGTTCTGTCAACTTATACATGTGTATGTAGAAGTTATAGGCTAGATAGGTGTATGCTAGGGTACAACTCCAACCCTATATTTCCCTTGTTCTCTCTTGTTTCTAGTTATTCCTGTATTCTAACATGGTATCATGATTCATGAGTAGATTAGGTCCGCCCACCCGCTTCCGCCCCTAGCCCTAGCCCTAGCCTACCGCCCCGCCGGCCCCTAGCGCGCCCGCCGGCTCCTAGCGTACCGCCGGCCCCTAGCGTACAGCCGGCCCCTAGCGCACCTCGCCGGCCCCCTAGCGCGCCCACCGTCCCTTACACACCGTGTCGGCCCCTTAGCGCCCCGCCGGCCCCTCGCGCCTAGCCGGCCCCTAGCGCGCCGTGACGGCCCCTCGCGCCATGACGGCCCCACGCGCCTAGCTGGCCCCTCGCGCCGAGCTGGCCCCTCGCACCTCGCCAGCCCCTTTCGCTTAGCCGGCCCCTCACACCTAGCCGGCCCCTCTCGCCTAGCCGGCCCCTCGCGCTGAGCCGTTCCAGCGTGCCTAGCCGGCCCCTCTCGCCTAGCCAGCCCCTCGCGCACCGCCGGCCCCTCACACACCCGGCCGGCCCACCGCGCGCCTCGCCGGCCCTTCGCACTTGCCGGCCCCTCACGCGCCCGCCGGCCCTTCGCATGCTCGCCGACCCCTCACGCACTCGCCGGCCCTTCGCGCGCGCTGGTCCCTCCAACGCCCCCTCTCCCCTCACGTGCCTCGGGCCCCTCCTCGGCCTTCCGCCCGGTCTTCTCGCCAGGGAGCCCTGCCGCTGTATCACCGTGCCGCTGTGACGCTGTGCCGCCGTGACGTTGTGCTGCGGAGGTTGCACGATGGCGGAAACTGTGCTTCGCATGGACGCGGAGGGACACGCGATCGACTTCGCCGCCTGGCTTGTCGATCTCCGCCATCACCTGACAGGTCAGCGCCAGGATGGGCACTCCCTGGCTATGCATGTTGATGGCTTGCTTCCCTGCCCCTCCGCGCCTGATCCCCTCCCTGCTGACCCCACCACTGTTGAGAGTGAGGCCTTTGCTGCTGCTGCGCTCGCTCACGCTGTTTGGGACTCTCCCGATGCTGTAACGCAGCTTGCCATTAGTTATGCGCTTCCACTGTCTGAGCGTCCGTGCTTCACTGCTGTAGCGAATGCCAAGGATTTCCTAGATGCCGTAATTGCGCGCTACTCCACACATGCCTCTGCCTCCGCTGGCCGCTTGATCCTCCCCATGCTATTCCCCGATCATTCCGCTTTCCCCACTGTCGCTGACCTCGCTACTCACCTCCGTGCACTAGAGAATAGCTACCGCGCAGCTAGCACTACCGCCCAGATCACTGCCTTTCCCCCGCCGTTCTGCGCTACCCTGTACCTTATTGCCATGCGCCTGCCTGACCGCGTAGCCATTGCCCGTGACCACTTCCTTAGCCAACACCCTAGTAACCTCACCCTGACTGTCTTTGTCACTGCCCTTTCTGAGATAGAGACTCGCCAACGCACTATCGCTCAGTCGAGTGGTGTTGCGGCAGTCCCTATCTTTCAGGGCTGTGCTCCCTCCCAGTACATGTACGCTGACGTTTCTGCCGCCGTCGCTACAGCTGCTCCTGCCACAGACACCGCAGCAGTAGCGACAGCATCAGGGCCGTCGTGACCCAAAAGGAGAACGTGGAGGTGGTGCTGGTGGTGGAGGTGGTGGTGACGGAGACAGTGGTTCTGACGAGGGGGCTGGGACAGGCGTCCAGGAGAAGCAGCAGCCGCACCAGCAGGAGTCGCAGCAGCAGCCGCATCAGCAGCATTAGCAGCAGTCTTCGCAGCAGCAGCCGCCGCAGAAGGAGCAGCAGCAGCAGCAGCAGCAGCTGTGGGCCCGCCTCCCCGCTGGGGTGGCCAGGAGCCCCTTGAGGTGGTGGCCGTGGTGGCGGTCCTCGCAGCTTGGCATTTACCGGCGGCTTCGGTGCTGTGGGCTACTAGTACCAGCTCCAGACCAGGCCCCTTCGTGGCATTGTGTGCCGCCGCTCGCACCCGACCGACCGCTGCTTCCGCTGCCTTGACTACGCCACCGCTCTGGTCTCTGACCCTGTCCGTCCTCTGTCCGTCGGGGGTGCTCCTGCACTTGGCAGTGACGTCCTAGAGGACAGGCAGTACGAGCTTGCTTTTCTGTCGGAGGCTACTCCCCATCTCTGTTCTATGCTGCTAGTCCTTGAGGGTGACCCAGACGCCTTTGACATCCTGACCCCTCGCACTTACGCTGAGGCGACCTCGGGACCTAGGGCCTCTCAGTGGATGGCTGCCATGGAGCAGGAGATGGCATCTTGGAGATCCTCCGGCACCTATGTCGACGCAGTTCTCCCACCTGGAATAAACATAGTCAATAGCCCATGGCTCTTCAAGATGAAGCGCCCCCGTGGAGAGCCGCCTGCGTTCAAGGAGCGCTACGTGGCTAGAGGCTTCAGTTAGGAAGAGGGGATGGACTTCTTTCAGACCTTCGCTCCGACCCCAAAGATGACTACTCTTCGGGCACTGCTACACGTAGCAGCATAGCATGACTACGAGCTCCACTCCCTCGACTTCTCCACTGCTTTTCTTCTGGGCAGCTTACTTGAGCAGGTCTATCGGCGCCGTCCTCAAGGCTTCACCTGTACCTTCCCTTCTGGGACCTAGTGGCTCCTCCGGAGCCCGCTATGGCCTACAACAGGAGCCTCGTGAGTGGCACGACACACTGCATGCTACGCTAGCTGACCTGCGGTTCTTTCCGTCCTTTGCAGACCCTTATTTCTTCGTTCGTGCTGGCCAGACTCCGTTCTACATCCTTGTCTACGTAGACAACCTGGTCTTTGCTACTGCAGACAGAAACACACTGGCCTTTGTGAAGGCCGAGCTGCTGAGGAAACACACCTGCATTGACCTAGGAGAGCTGCGCCGCTACCTTGGCCTGCAGATCTCCAGGGATACAGTAGCGCGCGCCATCACTCTTACACAGTCACACTTGGTGTGCCAGGTCCTTTAGAGGTTTGGTCTTCAGTTCTCCTCAGCACAGCCCACACCTCTGCCAGTAGACCACAGGCTCTCAGCTCCAATTCCTGAGGAGTTAGTAGAGCCTGGTGGTCCATACGCAAAGCTTTTGGGTTGCTTCATGTACTTGATGACTTGCACTCATCCAGATCTCGCATACCCTCTCAGCATCGTGGCTCGCTTTAAGGCCACATGCAGTTACCGTCCACAGCACTGGTCGGCCGCTAAGAGGGTTTTGTGTTATCTAGCAAGTACATCGGGCATGGGTCTAGTGCTGGGAGGACGCAGACCAATGGTCCTTACTGGGCACACAGACGTTTCTTGAGCAGACGACGCTGAGACCCTCAGGTCGTCCCAGGGCTACTACTTTAGCCTTGGTTCAGGTGTCATCTCGTGCAGGTCCACTGGCTCCTTGTCTGTTGCCCTATCTAGCCGTGAGGCTGAGATTTACGCCAATGCCATGGCAGCACAGGAGCTCCGCTGGCTGATCTTCGTGCTCGCCGACTTACGTGAGTAGCCTAGCTCTGCCCTGGTTCTGTACGCTGAGAACAGGGCCATGATCCTCCTGTATCAGGAGCCACAACTCGAGGGCGGAGTGAAGCACATCCAGCTGCGGTACTTCCTCATGCGCGAGCTACAGCAGCGTCGCCAGGCCCGCATAATACACTTGGCTTCCGGTGCCAACACAGCTTATATCTTTACTAAGGCGCTTGCACCTAGAGATCATCAGCGGCACTGCTTGCAACTTGGTCTAGTTCCTGTAGACTCTCACTTGCGAGGACGTTGATTTAGTACTCTTTATTTATACCTTCCAGACTGGCGTTGTGGCTTATCTTCCAGTGGCTGGGCTAGTAGTGCCGCCCTGGTTTGCTCTTGTCTTGTTTGCACTCTTGCTGACTGGTCTTCGGACCCTTGCCTCTGAGGTTGGACTAGTAGTGCCACCCTGAGCTGTGCGTTTCTTGCTCAGCACTACCACTTATCTAGCCTTGGGGGTGTTTCAACTTATACATGTGTGTGTATGTAGAAGTTATAGGCGAGATGGGTGTATGCTCTTAGAGGGTACAACTCCAACCCTATCTCTCGTGTTCGTTCTTGTTGCTAGCTATTCCAGTATTCTAACATGTTCTGGTCACCTGCCTCTAGCATACCATGCATGAGCAGTTCAAGCACATATTTCTTTGTTGGCTTTGCCCATGCTTGAGCCGGAAGAGAACACATCCCATGACTATGAATGGGAGCTAGCTCCCAGAGTTATGAATTGACTAGGATAGAAGGTACAGGGTAGTTTTGTACTAGTGCTATACTCTCTAGGAGCATGCACCTATTTAGCCTAAAATAACATATGCATACCGTAAACGCCTGGATAGAAGACCTGGGCGAATAGAAGACCCTAGGGTCTATTATCTGGGTGTTTTCTTATAAACGGGTACTCTGTTTATAAGACATGGATTTTGGATAGGTATGGCATACTATAAGACCCACCTTGGGTCTTGTAATCATTTTTTGTTTTCTGCGAAATCAACATTGTGAAATCCCAACAAAACCCAGCTGAATCGACGTACAACTTAGTTACGTAGGTTGATTCTTAATCGTGAAATTTATGAGCGTAAATGCATGAAAATGTATGTATAAATCAGTGTAATGTGTCATAAGAAAGTTCAAACTGTGCGTATGCTTTCCTCGTTCTCGACTCGCCGCTGCCAGACAAAATTGTCGGGACTGTGTTTGAACCTTGCCGCC